TGGTCTTTATTTATATATTGGTTGGTTGGTTGTTCTCCATCATGGTGGTTGAAAAAAGTCCAAGTTGTTGACACAACCTGTTCTACATAGAGCCAACTATGACAGTTGTAAAATATCACTCATATGCCATCTATTTATCAAATGCTATGTATTTGGCTTTGGTGTCATTCAGGCTGTCCTCCCACTTTTCTCTTTGTTCACCCTATAGCATAGTAACTAAGAATTCAAAACCTTATAAACAGTTTTCTGTCGTGTAACATGGCCTGCCTTAATATGGGTTTTGGAATTCTTACAGACAAATTATCTTTTTATATGGTATAACAGTTCCTCAGTCATGCTATTCTTTATAGACTGTGTTATGTACACTATCTGTGTGGAGGTACTGATTTATAGTATGACCCTTCAAACTTGATATTCAAGGTTTATATACAGTTCATGAACAGTTCTTCATTTTGAAATATTTATACTTCATGTCCAGTGTCTCCTGTTCTATTGTTGGACTTCATTGGAACAATTATTTTAAAACTGTTGTACCATCCAATGCGAAATGAAAAGTATACTCCTTTTCACTTTTGTGTACAAAAATACCTAGAATAACAAGCTTCATGGGAAATCATGTTAGACAGTCACAGAAATGAATTCCAGCAGTGAGGCTGCTCTTGACAGAGTTCTAACATCTTGACCCTAAATCTAATTTGAATGAAGAGCATAAGAAGATAATTCCTACTCCTACTCTGCTAATTCCTACTCTTTTCTGTGGTTTTGCTACTAAAACAATTAAGAAGAGGCTCTAAGATCAAAATCTAGTGATTGCTTTTGAAATAAGAAATTCTTTAGAGATTGTGATTCTAGTATCATCTTTGCAGTCAAATTTTAGAAACTTGGCAGTCTTAGGAATAAGGTGTTAATCAGGGTTAGGGATTATAACATCATTTGCTTTCTCATGAACGCAGAGCAAGGCCATTTTGAAAATATTTAAGGTCATGTGTCAGGCATAGTTTTAACATTCTTTTTAATGATTTTAACCTTACAATTATTTTTATACACAATCTTATTAATATATTAAAATATTCAAAAGACAGATCATATATTCCATTGATTTATATTTATCTCATGACATTCTACATGTGTTTTCAATTTTAGCAGTTCAGACTCTTTAAGAAATTAATCATAGCTCTCGTACCATTCAAATTTACCTGTAAATTAACCATGATCATTATGTATTATACTCATTCCTGGGTTAACCATTAATGAGTACATGGTTAAGACACCAAGGGAAGGGAGGCACCTCAGAGATTTTTCTCAAGTTATCATGCCCTTAATTCTCTCACTAGTTTTGAGCACTTACTGAACATAATGTCTTGCCAGTTAAGCAATGGAAAGGCTAAAGAATACCATTGTTGGGCTGTGCTTAGGGCATCACCTAGATTAATTGTGATTAAACAATGATTATACCTTATAAAGTGAATGTTGACTTTTCCTTTAAAAAAAAAAGATCATGGTTGCCTACACTGGCCACTTATCCATATATATATAAAAAAAGAAGTCCTTGCAGATTTTTAGTTGTTGCCCATATATCCCTCTACAATCTGAATTTTCTGTTTTACAGAATTTGAAATTTAGTCACTTTTGATTGTTTCATTAGGCGAGACAGTTTGAAACAGGGAGGGGAAAGGATAAGTTAATATTTTTGTTTGACTCAATTTCTCAGTTTCCACATTTTTACAAAACTGAGTATAAAAAGCTTAAAAACAAATTAAAATTCAAACTACCATTGCATAGTAATTAAAGGCCTGTTTAAAAAGATGAGCTCCTTTTGTTTTCTAAATGCAACATCCGGCAAGAGTCAACTATGCATTTTATAAGGTGGAAACAAGGTGGTTCAGTAGTGCATCTTCAGAAAGATTTCTCCATTGGAACATAATAGCCAAATAGCTGTAGGCATTTAGAGCAGGGGTCCCCAAGCCCCGGTCCATGGATTGGTACCGGGCCGTGGTATGCCAGCAACCGGTCTGCACAAACAAGCAAAGCCCATCCATGAGATGCAGGCAGCACACAAAACCACACACCCTCTGGTCCGTGGAAAAACCTCTCTCCACGGAACTGGTCCCTGGTGCCGAAAAGGTTGGGGACCTCTGATTTAGAGCTTTAAAATAAGGTAACTGTGTAATCGATTCCTAGTATGTAGTAATACTGAACTGTATCAGCAGTCTTTTTATTTGTAAGTTTTAAACATTCTTCAATATTGCAGGAATAAAGATGACACCTAATCAAGATGTGAAGAACTTGCTAGATTCAACCAGCTCAGAAGGAGTCACATGCGGCATACTTCATTTTTCAGAGGTTATACCCTGGATCCAATAAAAATAAGGATATGGGAGCATCCATCCTGCAGATCTGCCTTTTCTTACGAGTAAACTATTATTCCAACTAGGGTAGACCCCATCCCCTGAGTTCTGTTTCTAAGTGACCAAAGACACTTACATTTTTTAATGTCTTCCCACAGGAGGTATATACGGTGCTCACAGGATCACTTGGACAAAGAAGCACTTAAAGTATGACTTGTAAATAGTATGCTGATTTAAAATTGGTTTGTTTATGAAGTTCACTGTTACTGTAAAAGAGTTAACATACTGGTAAGCGAAGAGTTTATAAAGGTGATATATGGGAGGTAGGAATTTTGGGTGAGCCATTGGGCTATGCTTGGATATTGTTGGTGGTTGAGAGCACATGACGGAGGAAAGGGAAGACAAAGTGCTAAGAAAATCGGTGTGTGAAATTTGCCAGATTGAGAACTGCTAAGAGGATAGTGTGAGAGAATGTTATCATGCTTACCCCATAAACCTGTTCAAGCATCCCTGCAATTTCCATTTTAGCTGAAATCCAGTGTAACAAAAAAGGTCCAAGTTTTATTTCTGCCAAATTGTAATTCATCTGGAATAGGTCGGTGAACTTCCAGAACACAAAGCATTTGCTTTGAGTTAGAACAAAACACACTTTGGGGCACATCCCTATTGAAAGAAAAAATAATCTTCAAGTAATAAGAGGAAATAACAAAACACTACGTTTGCCAATAAAATATCAAGAATTAAAACCAAACTAGGCGCAGGAATGGGTTTTCTCTAGAGAATGACACCTAATTTTGAGAAAGGACTTCTCTTTCTTTTTTCTGCCATCTGAAACCATTTTATCAGTAAAAACAGAGTTTAAAGTATCATAACATAATAGATGTAATGAAAATCGTAAATTTATTATGTATTTTCATTATCAGAGGGTAGTATTAGGGGGGGAAAAGATAAGGCAGGCACAAGATATCATTTTCAGGAATATGTAAACATTGTTTGCCTTAAATTGATATTCTGAAAAACTAACAACTCGTACCTCATGCAGCTTAACGTCAAGCAAATGTTTTTCCATCCTGCCAGTGGTTCCTACTGATTCACACTAATATCAGGTATTATTAAGTTATCTGAGATTTTGTAACACAGTCCCGATTGAAAGCACCCCCCTTTTAAAAAGACCCCTCTCTTACTGATGGAAAAATATAATATGATGTTTGAAAAAAGATACAATTAATTTAATATTAAATTAAATATTAATAATATTGAGTTTTGAGAAGTATATTCATTGAAAATTCTTCTTATTAAATGTTAAGACTTCCTTTCACAAATACTGAAATCCATTTGGGAATTAGATTTTCAGATTTCTAACTGATAAAGAATTATGTTTTATATATGCATGATTATATGTGAAAAGAACAAAACAGCATTTCATACATAACAACTTTATGGTACACATTCCACTAGTTTTATAATATGTGAGGAATGCTGATGACCCAGGACAAAGAGGGTCTATTATATGCTATTAAATGGATTTTCTAAAGACCAGCATCTCATTCCAAGAAAGCAAACTATGTGGCTGTAGATCTTATTCAAACAAATTAAACACTGTCATGCATGCTGACTACTGGCTTTTTATTCTTCCTTTGGGAAATTTATCTATTTTTTTCAGCATGATAATTCTCTGAAAACTGAGCTGAAGACAATCAAATTCAAACTAGAGGAGAGAGAGAGGCAATTAAAAAAATACTGAGTTCCAAAATGGCCAAATCAAGATTGAAGAAGGAAAAAAATCTCCCAGTGCATCCTGGGAGAGAAAGGTGAGCAAAGATTCCCTTCTGTATCCCCTGCTGATCATTTGTCCCAAAGCAAGCAAATTCAGGCTGTTTTGGAAGAATATAAAGCATATAGAGCAAGTCATGCTCTATATGGCCTTGCCCAATTGTATTTTAGGCAAAATGCATCATTAATAGCTCAGAATAGTTCTCGATCTACAACAATTCATTTAGTGACCATTAGTTACAACATCACAGAAAAAAGTGACATTACCAATTTTCACACTTATGATTGTTGCGGCATCTCCATGGTCATGTGATCAAAATTCAGACGCTTCACTACTGACTTGTATTTATGACAGTGGCTGTATCGTAGAGTCATGTGATTGCATTTTGCAGTTTTCTGACAAGCAAAGTCAATGGTGAAGACAGATTAATTGGCTGTGTTACTAACTTAACAATTGCAGTGATTCACTTAACAACTGGCAAGAAAGGTCATAAAATGGACAAACTCACTTAACAAATGTCTTCCTTAGCAACAGAAATTTTGGGTTCAATTTTAGTCATAAATCAAAGACTACTTCTATCAGAAAATAGCAGGCCTAGAGGTGAAAAAAACCAGAAAAATGCTTTGGCAAACTAGTCCTGTATTATTGCTCAGAAAGTGGCTTATATATATATCAGAGCTGAACTGAAAATACACATCAACAAGATTGCCTCTCTTTGATAACAAAGGGACAATGAATTTCCTGACTCTAGGATGTCTGCTTTTGGTTTTCAATTTGTTGGTAAATAAAACCAAAATATTATTAACAGTTTAATTTTTTGGTGATTTCTTTTTCTGGAGAAAATCAAAATACAAATAAATGCTCTCTTGAAATCCCTGAAGATTCAGGAACACAAAGACTACTATAACACAATATATAAACATTTGAAAAGTGGCTGTGGTAAACTAAACACTGATTAGAATGATCCAATATAAAAGTCAGCATTTAGAAGCCATGTTAAATAGCAGTATATTTCATTCTAGCTCAATCTTGTTTTAAACAATAAAATCTACCATTAAAAAGGCCACAAACCACCAGAAACAGAAAAACAACTTTTTTAAGACACACAAAACCAGTGTTTACTTTTTTTTACAAGACTTTTAAATAATACCAGATTTTTTTCTTTCCAACATAAACCTGCTGTTCTGCCCTCTCCCCCAAATATAATTTTCTCTGCAGTAAGTTTAAGTTTTAATATGAAATATCTTTTTGAAAGCCTTTTTGAAGTGTTCATTACAGAGTGGATATATAAATGGATTTAATGTAGAATTCACATAGCCAAGCCAAATTGTAAACATGTGAAAAGGACGGTTATAGCATATTTCACAAAAGGCCATGACCATAAACAATACAAAATATGGTATCCAACATAGCATAAAAACTGCCATTATGACACCTAATTGTTTGGCAGCCTTTCTGTCCCTGTTCACGTGCAGCTTTTGACTCTGGCAAACAGAATGAGTACGTAGCTTTCCCCATGTCTCTTTCAGGTAACGGAGACTAAGAGGATCTCCTCCGTTAGAATACCTCTGAGGAAAAAGTTGCTCAGGATGAGAATTTTGTTTTAGGGAGGGATCTGAGTGAATTCTAGGCAATGATCCTCCTGCAAAATTCTGCCTACGTGATATTTTGCCTAACTGGGAGATAGGATTTTTTATATTTTCAACACTGTTACTGACACAGGCATATTTTCCCTTTGTATTGCCTAGCTCAAAATCTTTCTGCATTATAGCTAGAGGGAAACAGTTAAGTTTTATTACTTCATGGTCACTTCCTTTGGGAAAATCCTTCGAAATTTTAACGAAGCTGCCTAATGGAAGTTTAGATTCCCTTATTTTGTTGTGCTCAAAGCTATCATTTGCACTGAAAGAAAATCCTCGGTCTTTATTTGAACGTTGGGAACAAATCTTTTGCATTTCCTGAATCTTTCCATTATGCACACTCGTGTTATTAGAGTTACATCTGTATAATCCATTTATGAGCTGCCGATGCTGATAATGCTTGCAGACAGCCCTGTAAATGTTTGCATAGAACCACAGCATCAGCAATGATGGTACATAGAAGTTGATTGTGGCTGTCAAGACTTTAAACCAAGTGGTTCTACAAAAATCTGTTTCACATACTTTTTCATCATAAGTTCTGTTATTAATTGTCATAGTACTGTGATCTGTGAATTTACGCCAGCCGAGTATAGGAATCACCCACAGGAAAGACAGCAACCAAGCTATTGAAATCATGACCGAGGCTCTAGTTTTGGTCCTATACTTGAGATATTTTAAAGGCTGTTGGACTGAACGATAGCGATCTACACAGAGAATGAAAAGGCTGAATATAGAAGCTGTGCTGGCTACGTAATCCATTGATAGCCAAAACAAGCAAGCTTCTCTAGTCAAAATCCACTTATCCTTCAGCAAGTATACAATGTTTAGTGGCATCACAGCTGCACCAACTATAACATCTGCACATGAAAGACTGACAATATAAAGATTGCCAACTGTCTGTAGCTTCTTTTCTGTTTTCACAGCATATAGGACCAAAATATTCATAACCACTGTAATCAGTGAGATGGTTCCCAAGAATAGTCCTAGAACAGGTTGCACCTCTGTAGAATTCCTGTTTGTGCTTCTGTCTACCAGACACATCCTTTGGCTCAAGCTCAATAAAAAAAGACCAAAAAAAAGTCTTCAGAAGTTCAGTCTTGTCTGGCGAACTGTTGGGTCAGTTTCTTTGATGTCTTTGATCAATCTGAAAATTAAAAGAAAAGTTTCACTACTGCTGTTTCTTGCCGTTTTTACAGCTAAAGAAATAAAAGTGAGAGTGAAGTCAAGAATAAACATTGCAAAAATATTACATAGTAGGAGCTTGCCTCCAAATTTCTTATCCAAATATCTTACATCCAGAGCCTTCCAGGCCATATGGTATTCATCAAAAGTTTAAACCACCGGTCCCGGAGCCAAGTGGAAGCTTTCCTCTTAGTCTCCATTCAAAAGAGAGGATGCTGGGCCTGAGCATTTCCAGGACTGTGATAATTTTAAATCTAAGGTCCAGAAAGCAATGTTATTTAAAAGGAATCACAACCTGAGATATGACAGTTGTCAGCTGCAATACATGATGTGAGAGATATGTAATGCTCACACTATCAAAGCCTGTGAACAATGAACAGGAGAAATCCTGGTATGCAACTCAGTCAGAAATGCTTAACCACTTCTTTGCACAGATGTGCACAGTAAACAGATGTTAAAAGTGACTTGCCATGCTTGACCTGCTAGTTTCTCTTTATCAAGTTTCAACTTCTTAAAGGGAACTAAAACCATTTAGATATGCTGATAAGAAAATAAAAAAATGGAGAATAAACACTATTTATTGAAGAAAGGTAGGAAGTATATCCAAAAGGAACTTAACATCCACCACAATTAATCAAGAGCAAGCCCTATTTATATGAAGTTCGAACCTTCTTAGGTAGGGTGGAACCAAAAAATTAAACCTAACAGAATAGTGGAATCCTACTTTTGAATAGACTCCCTTGTTTCTCTCCATTATTTGTTTTTATGGTGCTCAAATTTGTTCTTACACATATTATTTACTGGCAATGAGAGAACTGATTTTCACATTGTCCACATGGCATCTGCCCCTGCAAAGAGTACCCAGGCAGAAATCAAGAAAGGAAATCTTGAAAGGATTCCATTGCATTATCTCATAATAAAAAAAAATGCAAGAAGGTATCAGATGTGGTATGCAAAAGTCAATTAATAGCAAGGAATGTTACTTGTTCAATATTTTATGCTGCAAAAAGAAGTGTTACTCCAAGGTCTCACTTCTACACTTATGCAACACTGTCTACCTTTTGATGGTCCCTAGGGCATACTGTGTTTTCAAGAAGTAGTAATATACCAGCAAAACATAAAATATACCAACAGTAGTCCTTGAAATGCAATACCAGACTGTCACTTAACCTCATGGTATATAGTTTAGATAGTAAATCATCAAGGAGTGATAACAACTCACTTCTTGCCAGGAACTGCTGTGCACAGAGTGTTTTCCATCTCTACAGTAGCAAATGAAGATGATCTATAATGTTAGAAAAGTTCTCCCCGCAACCATGAATGCGCTAAATGTATCCACTGGTGCCCAGGCAATTGATGTCGATGCCAGCACCAAGTTTTTGTGTATGATACATAAATTCTCCTAGATTGCTTATGCCAACTCTTATCCCAAAGCATGACTCATACCACGAAACAAAGAATGCTGTGGAAGGCTACATTTTATGCTAAACAGACTTCAAACCAGGAACTTTTGCAGCACACCAGGGATTAGATTAGTCTAGTGATGGTCCCCCTTTCCTAGCAATGTCTTATATCACAAAATGAATTAGTATAGCTTTCTGGTAGCAAATAAGAGCCAGTTGCTCCACTGTTGCACAATCAGAACTACTCTGGGCTGTCTTTGGTAATGTAGCCTCAGAAGTTTGTCTTGATGGCCCAATGCAAGCAAGGCTTTTGTTCTTTTCTTAGTAGATTGTTTCACTTTCCTTCCTGCTTTATTTGCATCCTTGTCATTTATGAAATGTAAATCAGTAATTGATGGCTGTGCCAGTTTGATGCAGTGGTTAAGGCAGGGGTCCCCAACCCCTAGTCTGTGGACCAGTACCGGGCCGCGGCATGCCAGCAACCGGTCCGCACAAACAAGGAAAGCCCCATCCACAGGATGCAGGCAGCACACAAAACCACATCCCCTCCAGTCTGCGGAAAAACCTCTCTCCCTGTAACTGGTCCCTGGTGCCCAAAAGGTTGGGAATCTCTGGATTAAAGCATCAGGCTACAAATCAGGTTCTAGTCCCACCTTGGCACAAAGTCAGATGGGGAACATAGGAGAAGGAAGGAGTATTATGTATATTTGTTGCCTTGAGTTACTTATAAAGGCAGGATAAAAACACCTAATAAAAAATATATAATCTCAACTTCTTCAGACATCTCTGTTTTGTACAACAAAAAAATAACGGCTGTGTTCAAACCGAATGCTAAGTTAGTATATATTAATTATTATTTCTTGCATTATCATGATTACCAAAAGGTGTTTTGCTCATTTTGATTATGGCTTCTTTTCTACACAACCTCCAAATCTTTTAGATAGCCACATCTAATATTTCACACTTCTTCCATGCTATAGCAGGGGCATACTCAGTGGTGAGATTCAGCTGGTTCACACCATTTCGGCAGAACCGGTAGCTAATTTTTTGTTGCCCAGACCCAGAATGGACTTCTGGCATCCACACAGAGAACCAGTTGTTCACATATTTGAATCCCACCACTGAGCATACTTCTTGTTATCATCTACTTGCTTGTGATTTGGTCCACAAAAGAATGATGTAGAATTCATGACAGTGGTCTGAACATGCAAGCCTTTTCCTTAGTGTAGATATTCTCTTGAATTACATACCCAGTACAAAGAATTTCACAATTGGACAATGTAAACAGGTTCTCTATGCCCTTACTATAGCTAAAACATGGGAAAGATAAATGTCTGGCCCTATTTATTCAATTGACTGAAGACCTGACTGCATTTGCTACTTATGAGTGCATTGCCTACAGATTTAGATTTCATTTGGCTAAGTATAAGTATAAACATGGGAGTCATTTATACAAAATACAGTAGGTAAAAAAAGCATGATAGTTATACAATAAGTACTATCTACAAATACACACACATCTGCATAATCTCTGTATTAAATAATTTTATACATATACTTGTAACTGTTTCTGTTGTAATGACAAATTATACTCTGTATTTTCATTTTTTTTCTGTTGTATTTTCACCTATTTTTAATCATTATATTCTTTTTTTGATAATGATTTTTGTGTTTTTCTCCTACTGTTTTTTTCTCTATTTCTGATACTGTTTTAAAAGATGGTAGGGAGGGAGAAAGGGGGGGGGAGAGAGGAAATCTGGTGGGGGGAAAATGAGGTAAAATAAAAGATTTTATTTTAAGATTTGTTTTTGATCAATTCATGCTCATTTCTGGTAATTACTGCATTTGTCCAGTGTTCTGACAGACTGATGTCTGTATGAATTACTTAGAATCTCCCCCCCAAAAAATGCTGTCATTAGTCTGCAAATTGCTGAAACTTTCTTTTCCTCTTTTTTGAAATTAGGGGCAATATTTGTTCTTTTTGGCACTTCACCAATTCTTCAGGATTTCTTAATAATAATAATACTTAATCATTCAGGCCATCTTTCAGAACCTTAAAATAAAATTCCTGTAGTCCTGGAGATTTAAACTCATTCAGAGTAATTAGGTATTCCTAATTATGTTTCTATCACTCTCAGATTTCAGACTTGTTCCTTCATCCTGGTTTTCACAATTTCCTGCTGGACCATGCTTCCCCCCCCCCCCTTCAATTGAAGAACACTGAACCAAAGAATGCTTGAACAGCTGTGCCTTCTTTTTGTTATCTCTTAGGATTTGTCCTTTATTTCCCTTTTATTTTGAATGCATCTAAAGAAATTCTTTTATTGTTTTAGCATATTTTGTTAATCTTGGCTCATTCTGAGCTTGCTTTCCTGACACTAGCTCCATAATTTTAGGCTGTCTATGCTATATCTTTTCTGATGGGGACCTCTGTTCATTTTCCATAGGCATTCTATGCACACTATTTTATTTTTCAATCATCACTTTTTATGTAGCTACATCTTTTGCTGTCTTCAATTCCTTTCCCTCCTTCCTCCCCCCCTGAATTGCTTACAATTGGTCTTTTAGAAAATTGCTATTCATCTTCGCCTTCTTTTTCATTAACTTATCCAGCCACTTTTTATCACTGCTCTAAATTTATTAAAATACATTTTTTAAAACCATCTTTTAGTTTTTCTTAAAAACCAGTAATTCCAGTAGTACATGCTAATTTTCCTCTTATGTTCCTGCTACTACTTTTTCCTTGGCTAAGTGTTCTTTATAAGTTAGTACATTATTGAGTCAATGATATGTGACCCTTTGTGCATTTTTTGGGGGGGGGTCATTGGTGAACTCTAGTAGCAATATTAGTCAAACATTTGCTGAAAGGGCCATGCCTGTAAGAGTCTGTCTCCCAAGCAATGCTGAAATAATTAATCTAAGCAATTATTATTCATCAGTGAGATGAGTACATGAGTACACAAGGTGTACGACAAGGCGATACAATATCATCCATCCTTTTGTCAGCCTGCCTTGAAGAAGTATTTTGCAAACTAGACAGGGTAAAAGATGGGATAAAAATCAATGGCTCCTATTTAAATCACTTAAGATTTGCAGATGATGTTGTTCTCCTCTCACAAGACCCAGAAGAACTACAAAGACACATACAAGAGTTGCACAACTCGGCTTAAAAATAAACCTTAAAAAAGAGCCAGGTTATGTTTAATAAATTCACCAAAGAAAGAATTGTTTTTATATCTGGAGAAGAACTAGATGTAGTAGACCACTACATATACCTTGGCCAATGGATCTCAATGGAAGATGATTGAATGGTGTGTTAAATGTGGTTGGCAGGCATTCTGTAAGCTAAAAGTAATTTTCAAGAACAACCTCCCCCTGTCGCCGAAGAGAAAGGTTTTCGATCAGTGTGTGCTACCTGCTCTAACATATGCCGGTGAAACATGGATACTAACTTCA